TTTTGAAGAACTTTAGAAACAGGTCTGGTAATATACACATGACTAGGTCAGTATCCTTTGTCTATTGAAACCAGAAACCTCAGCATCAAAGAAATAAAAACATGATTACACGAGTATAACAATATCTGAGTTGACTTTGAGGTTGTTTTTTATCTTTCTGTATATTTCTCATAGATGAATGCTGGAGACTTTGGACTCATCCTTTAGCCTGAGGTCCTTTAGGCTATCCACAAGTGCAACAGTCATCATGTGAAGTTACCGTTCCCACCGCAGAGATGGCAACTTTTCCCCTCCCACATTCATGTATTCCAGGGCCTGCTCACACAATTAATCATGTAGCCTACTGCTCCTTGTTTATCACACACTGCACTACAGATACTGTGTCTTTTGAGTGTAACCTCAAACATCTGATATACTCTGTGTGCTGTGTAGGGAGACATAATGCTCTGGTCTTCAGAAGTGCTCAGCATAAATATGTGGTAACCAGGTTTTCTGAAGCACTGAACTTTTCAGTGCAAGTGGGTGGCTGATGAGAACTTCCTGAGTTTAGCTTGATGTCCAGGAGGTTATTTTCCAAAACAGAGAGACCTCAGAGAAAGCTAAGATGCCTAACTTCTGCTGTATGGTTTTTGAATACTGCTCCAAAACTAAATAGAATGAAAACAAACTAAGAAGTGTCCTTGTTTAGCTGCTGTATGACTAATCTGTTCAAACTCAAAAATCTGCAACTCGGTGAGAGTATCAACAGACTTCTAAAAGAAAGCTCAAAAAGTTGGTGCCCTACAGACAGAACACACCTGTATATCATGATGCTAATATATCTTGGTTTTTGTGTTCCTATTTTCTCTCTGTGAAATACATGATGTTTACTCACAGTAATTTTTTTGACAAAGCAAGCTAGAAAATGTAAAATCTTTCCCTTTCCTACTTTTTTTTTGTTTCTTTGCTTCGTGGTTGTTTGTGTTTTTTTTTGTTATCACCTTCCTGTAATTGTTTTCTTACTTCAAGCTGTGTCTGCCTTTCCAAACGAAGTATAAGGAACAAATCTTAGAATTTAGCCCTTCAGAAAACTGGTACCTTTTTGCTTTTGCAAAGGAAGTTCCTTTATTTCACATGATCTTTTACTTCATGGTTAAAAATAGTTAGCTTTTTTCCAAGGAATAAAAGTTTCACCTTGTTCCCAAATAAATTAATGGTTAATTGCAGCTGCGTGAGAGAGTACACATTTCAGCAGCTTTAATTGATATTTCTAACTGTTTGATCTCCTTCTCACTTTACAGAACACAGTTTGTCATGTCAAATGTTATCTGTCTTTGCAGAGAAAATATTTGATCATGTAGGGGCCCAATTGATTTCTGATTTAAATCAGGAAGGAATTACAAAAGGCATTACACCAGGAAAGGTATTACTGCTGCTATTAGTAGCAGTAGAAGTAGTTTAGCACAAATAACAGCAGATGCTTCAGCAAAGCCTTGTCTAAACTGTGTCATTAACTCCTCACAGCACTCATCCCACTGGCTGTGATGTGTCTGTGCTGGTGGCTGGGTGAACCCTCCTGCGTGGCCGTGGGCAGCACTGCTCTGCCCTCCTCCTCCCTAATCCCCTCATCAGCCTAATGCTGCTTGCTGGTACTTTTATCTGCTTCTCCAGCATCATCTGCTGCCCCGGCAAGCAGTGACCTAAAAAGTGTTAATCCTGTTTACATTTTCAAGGTCAGAGAGGAGCCTCCATCCACTTTGTTTGTTTTACAATGGAAAGAAAACCAAGTGACTAGTGGATTACAAGGAAAATGCGGTTTCAGTCAGTGTATTAGTGCCTTGTTACTAGTTGTCTAGACAATCTGAGTAGTTCCTATGTGAAAAACAGATCCTAATTTTTTTTTTTTGCATTGATGTCTCCCTCGTATGTTTCAGGGAAAAAGGAACAGCCAAGCCTGGAACTGAGTTTTTTATTTTGCTTAAAAATCTGAATTTAGCTCAATTAGGAGAATAAAATATTTCTGTTTATAAATCATGCAATTATGTAACACTTCCTATAACACTAGTGGAATTTTCTTACATGAAAAATTGCAAACCAAAAATATTCAGGTATTTGAGACAGTAAAAATATTAGATCTTCTATTTTTCATTTTGAGCAGAAAAAGTTGAAGAACACCCCTCCCCCTCCATATTTAAGAAAAAAACCTGAAAGCAAACTTTGAAACCTTTTTTTTTTTCTCTTTTAAGCAGCCTTAAATATTATGCAGTAACTACTAAACCACTTGAACAGGATACTGAGATCATAAATACATGTAGCATGCAATTTTAGATGTTGACTTAAATATTACGCAGTAGCTAGTAAACCACTTGAACAGGATACTGAGTATTATAAATATATGTAGCATGCAATTTGGGATGTTGTTCGTGAGAAAAGCAAAGCAACTTTTGCTCTTGTTTTTCTTTCTTTTTTTTTTTTTTTTTTTTTTTTTTTTAGCTTTTGGCTTTCATATTCAGTTCTACTGAAGTCCTTTCTCTAAGACTGTTCAAGTTCCACATTAGTAAAGGTAAGTTTTCTGTGTTAATCTTTTGGACATCAGAAGAAAGCTACAATGCACAGAAAACAGGAATTGATAAAATTAAACTGCTGTTAGATGTTGCAGAATCACCAGAAATAACTATATCTTATCAACAAATGAAAGCCCTATCATTTTTCTACAGTAAAGCAGTTTCACCTAAGATAAATAGCTTTCAGTCACTGTTGTCTATGATATGGCCAGAAGAGTCCAAGATATGCATCATTTTGACACATATATTTCAGTACCACTTTAGACAGTAGGATTATATTCAGACTTCTGAAAAAAATGTGAGACCTTTAGCCTTGGTAAGAGATGTATGATGCATACTTATCTTCCTTGTTAATGTAGATCTTTAAAATTAGTTTTTGTTATTCAATGTCTTACATAGGCGTGCATGACACATGCAGGTGATAGATTTCTTTTTTCCTTCACCAGCTCTTTTCCCCTTTTTAATGAGGTTAAAGTCCTGATTAGGAAATCACTTTAAGCTTAGGTTTAAGGCAAGTCAGCTCAAGAATGCACAGAGGTCACACTGACTCCTGTGCGGTTGTGTTAGTTTAAACCAGATGAGTGGCAGGAGGCTTGGATTTTGTCTTGGGCGAAAAAGAGGGTCACCCAGTAGCAAGCCATACTTCATGGATGTGCCCTCTGAGAGTTTGCCTGCATGAATTTTGTCCAGAAGGAGAACTGGGCTAGGAGCACAGTGCTTTAGACGGAGTCACTTGCCTGCCTTCCTGGAGGGTGCAGCAGTGACATACTGAGAAGCACCATATAATGGCTATTTAGAATCACAGAACAACAGAATTGGAGGTTGGAAGGGACCTCTGGAGATCATGTAGTCCAAGCCCCCAGCCTAGACAGGGTCACCTAGAGCAGGCTACACAGGAACACGTCAGGTGGGTTTTGAATGTCTCCAGAGAGGGAACCTCCATGACCTCCCTGGGTGGCCTGTTCCAGTGCTCTGCCACCCTCCATATAAGGAAGTTCTTCCTCATGTTGAGGTGGAATTTCTTGTGTTTTAGTTGATGGCCATTGCTCCTTGTCCTGTTGCTGGGCACCCCTGAGTAAAGCATGTCTTTGAGCATGAAGTTAGACCTCCTAAGCATGTGTACAGGCCAAGTATCAACCTGTAGTACCTGTACCAGTCAGACCACCTAAGTGTTGAAAGGAAAACTCACAAAGCATCAAACTCAGAAAGTACCATTTTGAAGTAATAAAGGGTGATAATTCTTGAAAAAGAAGCAGAGAACCCTGAAGTTGTTTGTTCAATACTTTGGGAACTCAAAGGAGTAAACCATTTGTGGACATTTACATACATGCAAATAAAAAAATTGCACTCGCTGAAGGTAGTGGAATAGCCTTTTCTGTGAGGGAAAAGTTACTGAACCAATGTGAGAGTTTATGGTGAAAAGAGGAATGAAAATATTCTTTTTTTTCCTCTGAAATCTGAAAGCAAACAGATGTGCCTAAAAAAAAGGTGAAAAATACTAATACTCATGCAGGGATGAGCTTCCTTGGGAAATCTGGAAATATTATGTCCAGGCCAATGATCTGTACCACAGTACAGAAGGGGAAATTTTCTTTGAGCACTATTTGACCTTGACAAGATATTCTGTGATCCCACGTATTTAAAGGGACTGCCCAGTGTAAAATGGTACTCCTAATGCTTGATTGTCATGGAAGAAATGCAGCTGAGAACTGAAAGTTGTGTCCTTAGCTATCTACTATCTTGCTGTCCAAGTACAACAAATAAGGAACAAACCTTATCTGATACTGGCAATGGAATTTAGAGAATGAGCTGCAGTTAATATGAAGAGTAAGCTAAGGAAATGGATTTGGGGAGATAAGCATAAAATATTATCCCCCAAATTGCTCATATCCACCTTTTTTATCATAAAATGATCTGTACCCACATATCCAATAAAGTCTAATTCTTTCACTCAGAGTAGCTTCAGAGTAATGTAACCCACTGGACTTCAGGGATGAACCTCTTAAATCATCTAAGTGAGAAGGGAATCAAGCCTATTTTGCACACACAAAAACATGTATCCTAGGAAGCAGTCAAGAAAAAAAGTTCCAAACTTCTTTTATTGCTTTATTCATTAACCATCCTGCTTCACTTTAAAAATAGCGTCCTACAAAAGCACAGACATCCATCTCCTGTCTAGAAGCCATCTGGGAGAAGAATGGAAAGCTATTAATGTTAAAGCTTTTTCATAAAGACCTTTAGCTAAAGGTCTTTATGAAAAAGACCGAATTTTTTTTCCCTCCCCACCCATGAATTCATGGAAACCAATCATTTTGTTCCAAATATATAGGTCTGATGAACTTACAGAAAATTGAAAAAGAGATCCTGGAAAGGGCAGGAAGGTCAAGAGGAACTTACAAGACATTGCAGTCCTAGGATAGCCTTGCTACCTGAAGTGCTTAAATATGATGACTTTGGATCTGGACTCAGACTGGACTCCAAGGAAAGGTAGAAAGAAGATAGTGCAGTACTAGAAAGCAAAATCTGCTTAAAAAATGCTACCTACATGTGGTAGCATTTGCTAAATAAAGCTTACTTGTTGATTCCTGGCATAATATGGGTAAATTTTTTCCATTCAAATTCAATCAGATCTAAATCAAATGTAAGATTACGAAATTCTCACTGCCAGAAATCATACATTTTGCATGGCTTTAAGAAGCGTATAATGTGGAAACTGTTGCTGCAGGTCTTTTGGTGAGAAAACTCAATAAATGTCTATTCTACAATATGAATTATATAGTCACAAGTGTGTTGCATGAAGAAATCACTTAATATAACATAGAATAAAGGTCAAGAAAAAGGCAAGGAATGAAAAAGAAGTTAAAAGCTCTCTGAAAACATCTGGACATCCCACAAGATCAGATATCACATTAAAGAAAAGCGACATCTTGTTTTACCACATTTATAGCAGAATCTAGTAAAATGGGGCTGTTCCAGCACGCTTGGCTGTTCTGAATAATAGCAGAGTCACAAAAACTCAGAAACCCTCGTATTTCAACTCTGTACCATACCTGACACACCATCCATTAATCAAACACATGCTTCAGGGAAGCATGAATGTAATGCAGAGACAAGGAATTCTTCCAGGCTCTGTGAGAACGATGGGCTTAGAACAGCAAATATGGTCTATGGCCTTAGTTCATTTTTTCACAAAGCTTATTAAAAAAAAGTGAACTTTTGCCTGGAAAAGTGCTGAAATTCTAGCTAGAATAGACTTGGCCAGTAAACAGATTACCTTGTGGCTGTGGGTAATTATGCAGCTCACTTCTAAGCAATGCAGAAAATCAATTTTAATTAAAAAAATCATTTATGCTGGACTGAGCCATGCCCATTTAGGAAAAAAAAATATTGACCCAGGGAAGTTCAGTTCAGATGCAGAATTCACTTTCACAGTAGCACCCACCTCTTTCAACCCAATTTTCCAATTTGATTGACAGAAGGACAGAGAGGTCAAATGATTCGTACAATATCACTCATGCTGAACTTATCCCCAAGATCATCTTTATGTCCCATCTTTTGTTATAACAACTTAACAGATAGCTTCTATCCATTTTAGTCTTTAGTATCTTGCTTTTCAGAGCACATTGTTAAATTCTGTTCTGTCCCTACAAGTCACATGACAAATGCTGTGATCCTTTTGCAACTGGACAAGGCAAGGATTTGATTCAGTCCTGATTCCAGATTCAGACTAGGAAAGTATTTATGTATGGCTTACCTTAAAATATACATGAGTCTTATGAAACTCAACAAGACTTAAATGAATGCTTATAGCTGGCATGACATATTAAGATGCTGTGGTCCTGGTCCCTGAGAGCATCCTTAAATACTGGGAAAATTATTTTATTGAATTTGAATACTGGAAATGTTTGCTGTACCTATCTAAAGTGCATGTGAAGCTAATATTCATTTCACCTCTTGAAATGATACTGAATGATATCACCTATTGAATGATTATTTTACCTGTTGAAATGATAACTGTCTTCACTAATATTGAAGCATGGACCACTTTATAAGATTTAATATTGCTATTTCAAGAACCGTTGCAAGAATTTGAACTGTTAGACTAACAAACAGAAAATATCAGGGACACTGTTTTGCTGGACAAGTAACTTAATCCCACACTGCTATTATAGGAACAACCCTATTTAGATAATAAAAGTAAAATTATTAATTTTCAGTGTATGGGACATGTAAGGACCTTCTTAGGTTTGGTCCTTTAACAGGTGTATGTAGGACATGAAGTATTAAGACACCTTCAGAAAAAAACAGCTTGGTGTCATATTCCTAAAAAGGTTCAGTGTCTAAGGCTGCTTGCTGTGCTTTTACTTACTCAACAAATACAAATAGTAAACCATATCCTCACTACTACAGAATAGTTTGAAACTCTCATGTGGTCTGTTCAAAAATATTATGTTTTGGTTTGGTGTTCACGCTGATGCAAAACTGAAATTACAATCTTGCATTTTACTTTACTTTTTGATAAAATGTAAAATATGGAGAAACATTTACAACAAAAGGCACAAAAAGCACAGCAAGGCTAGTTACCACAAAGTATATACTAGTACATATGTACTCAGTTTAAGGGCAAACTAGGGAAATAAATGTATTTTCAGATAGTTTCCAGGTTGGTGCCTGCAACACAATTCATGTAGCCCTTTTTTCCCCTCCTGGATTCACTCTTTCAACCACTGCTTCTACACAGAAAGCCCTTCAAGAGTCCTTTTCTAGCCTGACATCTCACAAAGGTATAGACCAGAAAGAACTTCTGAACCTGAAGAGCAAAGAAAACCCTTCTAATGCCTCTCCAATGCATTTGCAAGAACCTTACCTTTCCCTGGAAGCTGAATAAAACCAGGAAAGACTGAATGTACAAATGGGATTCCGGAAAAAGCCCAAACATTCAGAAAAAGTCTGTCTACCTACTGAGGAGATAATAAGTGAATACCTGACAGTAATTAATATTAAAATATCCATGGAAGACATTGCCTTTCCTTTTCTTTCTTAGAGATGCCTCTCAATTGCAAGTGCACATTTGATGACATGACTGCTCAGCATAGTGGAGAGTGTGCAGAAACATTAACGAAGAGGAAGACATTTCCTGTATTGGCAGAGTTCTAATTAAGTAGATGCTTAGCTGTAGTTTCTATGAATTTGACAAAAAATTTTTAAAATTGGAAGTCAGATGGGAAATATCACGAGAAGACTTTTTTTCCTGTTCTGTATCCTAGATTTCCACTCCTTGTGAACGTAACAAGTGAAGAAAACAAAATGATGATCAATACACATGCATATACACACCCTGTACGTTGAGCTTTTGGAAGCTCACCAGAAACACGGGTTAGATTAATTTTGATAAAAGAATGCAAACCACCTATTAGTGTATATTTATATTTTGTTACAAAACCTTCCTACAAAAGAAACCAATTTGGATAAGGATTTAAGTGTGGGATAAAGTGAGGGAAGGAAATCTGTATTCTTCTGCAGAACAATGTTTTAAAAAATTAAAGAAAGTTCTTTACTGCAGCTATTTGAAATAAGTTCAGTTTTGATTAAGATCCTAGTGCAGAGTTTGGGATTTTATATTTTTTTCTCTTGCATAGACCTTGTGACTTTGAGAACCCTTGGGGAGTTGGGTCCCCAACCATAAGTAAGGTTGTTCTTAAACAATAGTTGCTGCTAATCTCTAGTGTAGGACCTATAAATAAGAAATTTAAAATCATTCATGTGTTACTAGTATAGTAATCATATACATATATAGATGAGATGTACATCTTGCTATCTGAAGAAATAAGAAAACCATCTGTCTCCATGCTTCATACTTCAAAGAAAAAGCATTTAAGAGAGCAATGTGGGAATCACTATTTCTTTAAATATGCTTCAACTTGCACAAGACTCTTAACAAATATTAAACACTTACTGTCACAGTCCTGTAGATTTTCAATTGCTGATAGCAATCTTGCCCTGTCTTCTGGGTTCAAAATGTTTAATTCAATCAGGTGGCTTTCCTGTAGATCCTTTAAGTCCTCTAGAGATTCATAGCCATTTAACAAGAGGGTTGAGGCATATTCCTACAAAAAATGAAACAAGCAAATCCTCTCATGGAAACAAGCACTGTGTTTAGTAGAGGAATAAGCACAATTTCACTTTTACTTTTTTTGTCAGTCTGAAATGGGCTTCACTCTCCAGTCTGACTGAGTCACCTTTGGCATAAAACCAGAGCTGGAGAGCAAGAAAGGACAGAGGCAGAGATATCTGGGGGTCCTCCTGGCCATCCCAGCATCTATGCCTGAGCTGTCTAACAGAGTCTGACAGCAAACTGGACCAGAACAGAAATGATTTAATCTGCTGAGTGTCTGGGCCCTTGTGGGTGACTCCATGCGTGCCTCTCATGCTGGGTCCAGGAGGACCTCTGAGGAGAGGTGGACTCTACATTTGCACAGGAGGAGCAGGGGTGAGAAGCTGAGGGAGCCCTCAGCTGTGCTGTGTCACTCATGGTCCCCCTTGAGCTGTGTGTCGACTTGGTATGAAACTGTGCATACTCCAGAGAAAGGAGTGTTTGCATCAGCAGCAAAGCAATTACTGTTATTAAAAATGTTTCTTGTAAATCATGTCCACAATACCTTTGACACTCAGTTGAGAACTAGGGTATCAGAGTGAGAGAGGTGCAACATGAGCAGAGTGCAAAAAGACTATTGCTTCCTAAAGATCACAACAAATTAGAAACACAAATTCTAAATTTTGGCACTGGAGTCAGACTGCAGTCCTGTCTTTGACGTGTCCACAGTCACGCACCTCCTACACTTAGGCACACAACTGTAGTCAGGTTACTGTCACCTGACAAGTCACCACTGTGCTTCTTTGCATGCAGTCTCTTAGCCTAATCAAATGACGTGGTAAAATGCAGTTTGATAAGCCTCTCACATCACATAAAAGAGACGTGAAGTTGCTTTGCTTTGCTGAAATCAAAACAGCTGAAACCTGCCTTTCTACTCCTGCCTGTAAATGACATCCAAACCCCAGTGCACAGAAATGAAACTTGTCAAATAGAACTGGGAAATGCATTGGCTGACCTGCAGGTGGACACATTCCAGGAGCTCTTGCAATGTTTTAGGCTTGGTCCTTTTTCTTCCTCTGTGTGGGTTTATCTTTCTGGGTGCAGCTTCTTCTTCCAAGATAATATCCACGTAAATGAACTTGAAGTTTCCTACTTTGTTGTTCAACATGCCTGTCCATATGCCCATGGGGGTTTTACAGATGATATCTATAATGTCTCCTTTCTAGAACAATAGAAAAACACACCACTGCTTACACCTCTGGTTTGCTATATGCAGCTTTTCCTCTATGGACCAAAACCAGCACTAGTCAGTGTGAAGTAACTTTTTAAGGCTAAGTAGATCTATCTTCTTTACTTTTATAAAATCCCAGGAAAATAATTACAGAAAATGGAGCCAGTCCTTATCTGCAAAACTTTGAGAAGAGAGCATAAGCAGTCCCTCTCACAATTTCTGTGCTCCACTTGGTCTCTGAAAAGTTATAGGGTTGCATTAGCAAGCAACTTTTGCCATGGAGGGTGGGCATTGATTTGGCAAAAAGCAAGGGAACACTGCAAGGTAATTTTCTAAATATGTGCCAAAGCATTTACACAATAATCTTATTATCAGGCCTCTGAAGGGTGTTCAAAGCCTGGTATCTGAGCTATGTGAAAGGTGGACTCTTACCCATTTTACAGTAAAAAAACCACTGGCTATATTTCCCAAAGGCAATAAACTCCCTTAATATCTTCCTTACTGTCCTTCCCAAAGTACTGACAAATTTTCCTACTCTTATTATCACAATTGACTGAGAAAATAGTGGACTGGGCCTTAGCAGACAGATCTAGAGGCTTCAGTTCTCCACACTTGTGCTCTCACTAACAGATAAGAGTACTAAAAATAGTGACAACACAGCTACTTCAAGAGGGCTTTTTGGTAAAGATGTTCACAGCCATGCTGTGGGACCAAGGCCTCAGCTCAGCAAAACAGTCACTGAGTAATTCGTGTAGTAAAAAAGCTCCGTTGTAAGTCATACACCCTACATGGCTCACTCCCAGGACCTCGAAATTGAGTCCTCTCTTCTTGGCAAGTACCACAGAACTTATAAAAATATTGAAAGTCTTAGAAGAGTTATCCAACAAATGCCCACTTCATTTGGCATGCTGTTACAAAGTTAGAAATCAAACTCTGTTTGTTAATATATGTGTTAACGTACAAGACACTTAATTTTTTTCCAGTCTGGTCAAGAACCTGCAAGTTAAGTGGTCACGTGAGTTTTGGTAATAACCCAAGTATGAAGTTGGCTGTGTTCTGGTGACCTGGTTTTGTTAGAATATGGAGCTCAGAGCTGTGAGCACATTTGAAACTAAACAAACTTTTGTTTAAAGCTCTATAAGCACTGATGTTATTCTACATACTCATGAAGGCTCAGGAACTTCAAATGTAGATGCAGGTCCAGATTAGGCAGTGGCTCTAAATTCAGCTGCATATGCACTTTGAATTCAGATTAAGGGTACTGAAATTTTGTGAGATAAATATAGGGGATTCAACTCTAAGTATTAAAATAATAAAATACACAACTGTAGTGACTAAAAAAAGGAATCTATGTGAGCTGGAATGCATATGCCATTTTTGACCAGTTAATCTGTTAAAACAGTTAAACTGTTTTGAAAGAAATGCCCTAGATGTGAATGAAATTGAAGGGCAAGTGACAAAGACTGCAAGTACTGGCAGAGCAATACCTGTAAGGTAGGCCAGAGAGGAGGAGAGGGATTCTGCATGAGAAAAATATGAGGATTTTGACAAAATAGAAGAGGCTCTGAAGAAGAAGAAAAGATGCTGGTGTGAATATAATCTGGATATGCAGGTGCTTACAAAGAGGGAAAAGAAGTCCAGATTACAGACATGAGTAATCTGGAGGATGATGATATTGAATCTATCAATGCATGGAAGGAGAAAAAAGTTCTGTGCTTTTTTTAGTAATGTTCAATGAGGCCTATATCTGTTGCTCCTTTTCCTCACTCACACAGGCCATGTCTGGAGCAAAGAAAGTTCATAGTTCAAAGGTAGGTTTAAAGAAAAGCTTAATGGTAAAGCAAACTGTTTTTATTAAAGACAATGGGTGCCACTGAGCTTTTGATATATCCTAGCTGTTATGGAAAAATCAAGGGGACAACTTCACATCCCACGAGACTTCAGTCTTTCTTAGTCCAGACCTACTATGTGGGAAGCAACATGTATTTTACTCTGAGGAAATCTGTGGTATCTAGGTAGCTACCACGATGAGGTAACCTACCTGAAATCTATGCTTTCAAAAGCCTTTAACAGCAGTTGTTTTTGCAACATTGTCTGAACTTTTAGACTTTTGTGGCTTTTAGAGTGATACACATGCTTAACGGTTTAAAAATGCATTAATAAACATATTCTTCACGTGTAAGAAATGTGTGTCCCCCCGGCATTCTTACTGGAAAAGAAGAAATCCTGGTGGTGAAAATCTTACCTTGATTTTCAGAGAGTCAGTGTCATAAGGACTTGGTGTGAAGTCAGTGTGAACTTTGGCTCGGCCACAGAAGGGCCCACTGTAAGGGACCTCGTCATCAAACCGGAGGCTGTCCCTGTTGCTTGTTCCATCTGAGCAGCTGGTCACCCCACCTTAAAGAGAGTCAAGTTGAGATATCTCCTGCACCATATACCCAGACATACAATTCTGTGCAGCAGGAAAGTGTTTAAAAACACAGAAACAGAGACAGTGTGGGTTTGACATATTCCAGGATAAATACATTCAATAAAAATCATACTACAAGAGATCAAAGAAAATGGGTAGGAGATCTTTCATTGATATCTTCCCTACATTAATCTTTTCCTGGTGATGATACTAATAGACTACACATTTTGCTTACAGACTTTTTGAAATATTACCTCTGCAGATTAATAAAATGTACCCTAAAAGTGCAATTTAGGGAATTAATTCTGCTGAACTTTTCCAGTTTATTCAGAGAAATGAAAACAAGTACTGTAGAAGCTATTTTATTTCATTACAGAGCTAGCTGAAACATCAAAGGAACCTGCATTGCAGAGGGAAATTTTAATCTTATCAACATTTCTGCCTGTCATTTCATCCAAGTTGAGCAATAAAATATCAGCAGAGTAATTCAAGCAAATTTGAGCAAGCTCTGCAATATCCCATCCAAATATGTTTTTAGATAAGAGCAGCAGTGTGCTGAAAGTAAACTCCCAAATACGATTTTCACAAATCACATAGAAAATGATCATAAAAATGGTTTTGTTTGAGGTGATTACTTAAGTGCACAGTTCTGTCTCAGGGCCAGATTAACTACAGTGCAAATGGTCTGGGCTGCAGCTCCAGTCTGCTCTCAGGCTCAGGTAGTGCCTGCAGTGGTTGCACAGCAATGGACAGCTGTAGTCTGCCACCCAGAAAATGTCCACAGCTGAGTTACAGATAGAGAGGTGGAGGCAGACTTTTCATCAGAGATTCCTCTGCCCTCTGATGTAGACTAACCTGTTGGGGGAGGGTTTTCAGTGGGTTTCAAGTGGGTGGTGTCTTTCTGCATCGTGATCTGACACTGCCAGATTAAACCCCCATCATCCATCATTTCAGAGAAACCTTTCACTTTGCCTGCCTCACATCTGCAGGGCAAAGGATGAACTCACAGCCACTACCTGAAGAGAGGATGTTTGTGTGGCTGCCCCCAGTCATTGCAACCCCATGGGTACCAGCACTATAGCAGTGATAATCCCACCAAATATTTATGGCATAGATACCAGCAACATCCACTATAATCCATGTTGTGTTTTTTTCTTCACTCTTAAAAACATTCAACTTATTTCTGGAGAGAGGTATATATACACCCTAAATGCTACCCATTTAATCAAATTACGCTTTTGTCTGCCAGACTGAAGAGCTCTCTACCATCACATTTTTGATCACCAGCTCTGATACCTCAGATTTAAATAGTAACTATATTGATCTAGTGACTAAGAAGTATAGCTATCTTGTACTTACTAGATGAGCTCTGGCCACTGTTCAGACTATAGAGGCTTTCCAAAGAGTCACTGGGTTTTAGGGAGGCCTTCTCAGTGTGTATGCCACCACCAGAATCACTGTCATCTTTTCCTTCTTCATTCTTCAACACAAAAATCAGATGTTAACTCCCAAGAAATGTATACTAGAGAAACATTTTTTCCCTTTTAAATCATCATTGGAAATTAACTCATCATTGTCGTTTATTAAGAACCACTCTAAGTGAGAAAACATTTTAGAAGCTGATGCCTGGTACTAAGGATGCCCAGCACCACCCCTAGCACCTTATGATGTTGGAGAAATTTCTGGTCTTGTCTCTGTCCCACTCACTTCATTCCATCCTGCAATACACCTCAGCAGAAATGAAGACTTTTAATGGGAAATTTGTAGGTAGCCAGATAAGGTGTTTTTTTCCACTTATATCAGAGAAGGAAATATAAAATTCAGTTCTGAAAGCGCATGGTGAAATGCTAGCCAACACAATTGTTTTACACTGAACTTCTGAAAAGCATGGTCGCTTGTCAGCAGGCTAGCACCCCAGGCCAGGGCCTTCAGGAGACAGCCTGCACACATGTACAGCATTGGTGCTCAAAAATTGAGCATTGAGGCATTGGCCTCAAAATCCAGTTAATTTCAGAATTAACAGACATATGTTTCTCTCACAAAATCTAATGGTGTATGAAATTGGCCCCTTGAGTTTATACCAATAAACCACACCTCAGAAATCACAGCCTGCTCAAAACAATAAGATCCACATTTCAGTCACAGGTAAGTAGGAGATGATGTAACAGGTAAATGAAATGGTGACAAGCTTTCAAAGGAAGGAACTTCTTCAGCAGATTTCATCACATTGTCAGTGTGTGTGAAATCCTAATGCTCCTGCAGTACTTCGAATGTTACATTATATTTGGGGAAATATTAATTATTCATCAGATGGCTGATGAAGTGAAGCAAAGCTGATGGTGCATGTACGAAGTAGAGACCCATACAGGTATGTATCAGGCATAGCACTAATACTATATTGGTTTTCAGCAAGGACTGTGCTTGTTACAGCAGTCAGCAGCATAACCCATAGATTAATCAGGTGGCTGGTATTGATTGTCATCAACTCCTGCAGGGATCAAGATCATGCTACATGTGTGTCCAACCAGATAATTCATTGAATTTTTGTCATGGAAATTGTTGCTGTACATGTGCAGAAGGTAAATATAAAAATATAAAAATCATGGATTGTAACCTCTCAATTTTTAGCAAAAAGAGAAAACTAAACTAATGAAATGGGGATCCTTCTCTTTGACCTCCAAAAGCTGTTTAAAGGTATCCTGTGAAACACTATTTTCTACTTGTAAAGTTTCTTGTTTATTTTCTCTACTTATTTGATATAGACGCATGTGTGAGGTAGGATGCAGACGAGCTAGATTTTTTAGGATTGATAAGTGCGATGAGTTCTTTTTCCTTATGTCTTCTTAAAATTTGGAACTCACTGATGCAGTATATTGAGAAAACAGGGTTTGCAGCATGTGAAACATTATGGGTTTTTATGTTTAATAAAGATAGTTTCACTATGATTAGATAAGGTAAAAGGAGATAAGGCATATGAGTTGTCATTCTCTAGGATGCTGGCTGACCTCTGCAGAAAGGACTTTGGAAATAATTCTTGTATCGAGAGAGATATTCTTCTAATGAAGCTTTTTGCACAACTTGAGTATCAGACTGATGATGGGATTCAACTTTGTGTCCACATTAGGAGATTTTTTGTGACGCTTATACAAATGGTCTTTGATGAAAAATAAAATTAAATGACGTAAAACTCCTGTGACTGTCTTGGGACCTTACTGTGTGATGCTGTGCATGTATGTGTACACTAGCATGCACATGAAAGAAGGGGTACGTACAAAAAGCTGGTTTAATTAACTATGTGCTATGTTTTTATGGATTATCATAACTGATGACAGTTGAAACATGAACAGGAAAAATGCATATAACATTTTTACTTCACATGTATTGTCAACAAACACAAAACTCTCAGGCTGTATTTACCATCTCCTCAGAGAGTGCCTTGATGTACTTTTTACCCATCTTTTTCTTCATGGTAAGTGAAATGGCTCTCATCCTCTTACTCAAACTTCCTCCATTATTTGCTGCTTTGGTTTGTACTGCTTCTCCAATGTCACTTACAGTCTCCAGCTCAGATATCTGTTTGGAAATAAAACTGTAAGCAACAACTCACCATGTAAATGAAATGCAGTGTAGTGGAGCAGGAATTACAGGGAAATATTAAGGACACTAATACAGTTAGCATGGCAAAAGTCAGTCATGGCCATCTTCATGGGAAATTGTGTACCTGAACAGGTTTGCAGGACACTACTGTATGTGTGAATGACAGAAAGAAAATATGTTTCATGCTAGAAAATGTTGATTCCCATAATTTATTTTCCCCAACACAAATAAGAATTGAGGAGAGTTTTGCAGGTGTCTTGAAACCAAAAGTGACACGTATGTGGGTTACTTGTAAAGTTCTGGTTACTTTGGGACATACAACAACATGAAATGCACTTTTGTTTTTTGTTTTGTTTTTTTTTTTAAGAATTGGTTTTAACTTTCACATCAAAGTACCAAAGTTTAGATGTCATTCTCTTGTTCATTTTGGCAAGGACTCAGTCATCCAGACAGATTCAGGTACATGAGGAAAGTGCACGCCAGTGTAAAATTTACACATTAGTTTCCCAATGTTTTTTCATAACTGTCGTGGGAAAGAGAACTGAAGAAATTTAAACTTTGTATTCTACAGACCTCAGTTGAATCATCTGTCTTTGATATCAAGTGGTGCCTGAAACGGTCAAAGTTTCCAAAGCTGCTTGTGCGCTGTAAAAGAAGAGAAGACAAACCTTGACTCACTGATGGTGTTTTGTTCTGTCATAAAGACTTAAATACAACTGTCAAGTCACCTGTTTGTGTTAAAAATTCCTCCTGTATCAGTGGACCATGAACTGCTACATCCAACTAGAAACAAACTAGAAGGTGACTATAGGGGAAAAAAAATGTGACTGTACAGCCAGAAGCAGAGAAATGAGTAAGAGAAACAACACTGCTTCAAATAGTAAGTAGTAACATATGTATTGCATTACTTATACTCACATACCTATGTGTTACTTGTAGAGATGAAAGAAAGCTGTCTATGAGCTTGGGAAAAAAAAGGTGTTCCCACAAATATGATATAAGCTATAGACTTGGTTATGGTGGTGTGAGTTGTGGCAATGTATACAATTTACTTTGGCAGCTGGGGAGACTATGGTTCTTTACCAAGAGGAATCAGCAAGGACCGCTAAGGATTATGAATTCATCTTGTCCAAAATGCATACATTGCAGAGGAAGTAAGTAACAGAATAGTTAGGCAGGCCTCATGGTTTTTTTCCCAATTCTCCAATTTGATAGCCTGATTTTAAAACATAAACGGATACAATTTTTTCCTGTGCCACAACTTTACTTGGAATAGGAAAGGTTGCATCACCTGAGCTGTGCGTTAAGAGACTGTGAACAGATTTCTCTTGCTTCCTTCTAATTTTCACCCTTTCTGCATGTGGATAAGTGACATGAAAAGTAGGGAAGTGGCACAGCAGATTTTGAGGAGAGAGGTCACACAGAAATACCTATCAGACATGCCTAGGCAGAGCTGTCTGACGTTGCACTGTCCATGGTGGCAAAATGCATAAAATTGGCATTGATGAAAAGTCAGAAGTCTTTTCAAGTGCAGCCCACATAACAGCCAGAATTTGGACATCTATCCACTCTACAGAGTCTTTAAGAGCTTACTTTTATGCCTTCACCAATACTTATAGAGAAATCCAGAAAGACTTGGGGTTTTTTTAAGTACTTCACTATTCCATACTAAATAGAAGTCTTTAATGCACTATCAGTGTTCTTGAGCAGGGTTTACTATTATATATGATGCAATATCATCTCAGGTTATTTTTGAGTATTCAAAATCCCCTCTGGAAGGAAAAAACACTGAACTAAAGAGCAAACCACAAAATAAATACATCCTGACTAATTTAATAAGTGATTCAGACTACCTGGCTGCAGCTTTTCCTGTACTTATTCATCCTTTTGCCTTGCCCATATGATTTCAGCCAAACTAGTTCCTTATTCCATTGCTTTCTTCCCCCACCCACAGCCACAAGTCGTCTTTTCATCTCCCACAGGTTTCTAAAGCACCCACTGTGCCCTCTCCACCTGGCATTTCCAGCTACCTCCTTTTGCTCTCCATCTGGAAACACTACAAGCCTCAAAAATCCTGTGAGCTTCTGGCTCTACTATTACAGAGTTTCAATCTTCTCCACCAGGCAAGAATTTCATGAGGTAGCCCCAGAGAAAACTGAGGTAAAGCATCCTTTGGACAACAAAAGAGGAGTAGAAAAGGACTGGTTGAATAGCCAGTCCCATTTCCTGCCTTCATGCTGCAGGCACACTTAATGCCAGCATGGACCTGCTCCCAGAAAAGCTAAGGAGAAATCTCTCGGTGGTAAGAGGAGCAGAGCTGCCCAAACACTGAGTGCTGCAGAGAATACTGCCCTTGCTGTGCTCAGTCCTCCAGTTGCATACCCAAGCAGCAGGGTACTCTTTGTAAGTGCTGTCCTCCGGAAAGCTGGAAAACCAAAGACCTGTTTGAGTCAGGATTTCAGCTGCTGGCAAGTTTCTGAGAGCAGATATGGCCCCGAAGTTGTTCTGTCCACAGCTGCCAAGCTGCCATTTGCTGCTCTGTCTCCTTACAGTCTCCTCTCCTGGCAGCAGTTAGTCCACTGCAGGAATCAGAGTGGCGAGGTGGTATTCAGGCTTCACAATCCTGATCTTAAGGAAGGTGTTCATCAAAATGATACCAGCTATGTGGAGCACATGCATACCTCCCCTGGGTGTTTCCATCCAGGAGGGACCCCATCTTATTTGGTCCCTGCTCATAAATCACAGGGTTACTATCTATATGAGCTCCCTTATCTCTTGTGTGCAGTCTCTTTTAATCTAAAAATAGTTTGCAGGAAAAAAATATGACAAAGAAAAGCTACAAGAAACCACATGAAAATACTTCATCTTAAAGTCTCCATTTGAGAAGGAGAAAATCAGCATTCCTTGGAACACAACTGAAAATAAAAGCTCCTTACCCTTATATTTCCCTGTTTTCCCAAACTTATTTATTAACTGGCTCTGCCACCTCACCCCCCAAAAAATAATATGGACATAGAAGTGGGAAAGGTCTGAACACAGCCAGATGGAAGAGGAAAGTGTACCCACATTTTGGCTCCATGTTCTAAGCAGTGCAACTTCAGACAACGAGAAAAAACATTTTTTTCCTCACTACATTTCCGAGCACATCTAACCTAGAAAATATTTCCAGCCAAAGGTTATTTGAAGAAACTGACCCAGATCTGTGAATATTTTTGGGCAAGTAAAATGACATTTACTATTCACTGAGGGGGGAAAATAATGAAAAAAAAAAATCCCACACGACTGTCATCTTAATTGATTGTAATCTCTCCGAAAAATCTCTGTTGGCTAAACATTGTGGTATGTTTGTTTGTTTTTACCTTGTGAAATTGAAAAAGGCAATTTGGATTGTACACTTTAATTTTATCTAAAATTCCCATAAAGAACTTTGCTATTAAGTAGATGAACAATATCCTGTGACAAGGGGTTAGCTCAATAGTATGATATAAAAACACAGCCCTAAGGATTAGGGTTCTATTAGACAGGATTAGCACCTTTTACTAGCTTGTCAACCCTGCGGCATGGAGTGGGAGGGAAAGAAAGAGGGAGACTGGGATTTATAGCAATATTTGGAAAGTATAAAGTAGTCTCACACAGCAATCTCTAAACATACACTGACCTTTCTGCTGCATTCAATCACTTCAATATGTCTAGTAGGAATAACTGTATATTGAAGTGCAGATGTGCTGCAAATACTTTAAAAGGAACAAGAAGAAAAACATTGTTTATTGTTGGTCTTACCTATAAACAGCTTGAGGACAGGGGAATCAGTTATCCTTTTTTGACCCTTGAAACAACCTTAAATCCTACATGTGCAGAAGCCTGGGGCTATTTTGTAGTGTACTTCAATGTTGCTTCATCCTTATTAAATATTAATAAGGGTTACAGGATGATTTCCACTGTTCTAGATAATGGTCTTGCTGCACTGGAGAGCACTAAATAGGGCTGCTTCAGCAATTCTCTATACTAACATTTTCCATTAAATAATCAATAGGCACCACCTTTTAAAAATGTATCCAACCCCATTATACTGATAACAAAAAGCAGATTTAGGAGCTGCTGGCTGCAAAGGGAATGGGACTATTATTTTCAGTGGTGTCAGTCATTGCATTAGTGTCAGGGAATACCTACTTTGTGAAGATATGGACAGGCCTTATTTCCAGGTGAAGGGAAGCTTTTAAAGTAAATGCAAAGCTACTAGGAGAAAATACGCTATTGACTTTTGATACTAGGATTCAGCATCCTATAAAGTTAAGTGGTTTTTCTGGCTGGATTCATGCAAAAGCTACCAATGAATATGTTAAGCAAATATGACTTTGCTAAGTAAAATCTAATGGAGGCATGAGCAGGAGAGAAACAACTGTGTTTTCCCACACAAGGACAAATCAAATGATTTGTACAAATCATCAAATTAACTTTCATCCCTTCCCCTTCCATATATCAAATTAGCATAATAGAAAATATCAAAGACACTTTCCAGTATTTTAAATCTACTATCTCGTTTATCCCCTGAAGTCCAGGAACTTTAAATAATCATTTTAAATGGATAGATGCTATGTAATTGTTGTTTATTTTCATTTGGACAGTCTACAGTTGATGGTGTGGTTTGTCTCTAAATAGCCTATCATTTTCCCCAGAAAATAGTACGGTGCGGTATGCAAATAGTAAAGTAGCAACAACAGGTTCTGCAATCCATCCTTTCTGTTATAAAACATCCTCCCCTTGTAAGAAAAGTCAGTTCTTATGGTAAACTAGTCATAGCTTCTCTGTGTCTAAAGACAACCTTTGAGCCAAAACTGACAGCAGTTATACTGCTAAATAATCATTATGAGTGATATTCAAATCATATTTTCCTTTGGACAATTCACACTGCTCAGAGATCTGGTTCCTTGCTGTGAGAAGTTCTGGCCCATTATATTTTGCTTGAAGTCCTATTCAAAATATCTTTTAAGTCCAGCATGATGTAATGACTTTCTACCAACCCTCTCACACAAGTAAATCTCTTCAAATTCTTCCATGCTTTTTCATTTTTAGCTTCTATTCATCTGTATACTACCATGTAAGATGTATAGGGGCAGATGTGGTTACTGGGTGAAAAGGGAACTCAGCATGTTGTCCAATTTCCTTGCCTGCCACAGACACTTGTCTTCTTCCTTCTGTCTTGGAAGAAGGTACAGTAAGCCCCAAGAGAACAGCCTGTGCTTGCTGCTCCGATTGACGGAGATAAGTGGAGATCAGGTTTTGATTAATTTCTTCTATTCACTGATTGCCCTAGTCCCTTCAGAACGAGGAGACTGAGAATAAATTAAGAGTTACCAAGTAGAGATGAATATTACTAGTTTATGTTCTTGCATAGATAATCTAAAGAATTGTCTCCTACTTTCCCAGATGGCAAGATAGCAATTTTTAGTTGTTGGGATGTTCTGTGAAAAAAACCCAACAAACCAACACCATCACCAAAAAAACCCCTTGACTTCAGTATAAAGAATGAAAATTTGCATACAAGGTTCAGTAACTCTCCAAAGAATAAGAGAACTAACAAAAGAGAAGACCTCTACCTCAGAGATATTTTTCCTATTTACACATTAGTTACACATAGAGATCTT